AACACAACCTCGATCTAATCCTGCTGAGTTACTATTCTCAGTTGCAGGGAAGGGGGACCGATCCTTCTCTTCTTCCAGCTCCTTGGAATTTATTGTTTCTGAAATCGTTCTTTCTTGACGGTAATTTTCCTTACGCAACAGCAATTTTCTCAACGATATCACTGTTATATTTTTGATGAGGTTATTATGGTTTTCTCCTCACCTTTAGAGTCGGCTGCCCATCAAGTGTAATAGGTGAAATACCTAGGACCAAATTCCAGTTAGGGCAAACCCTAGTTGGCTCTCTTCATCTTTCTATAAATAAGATGATCAAGTTTGGTCACCTTCTGGGATGGAGATGAACTGCCAGTTGAATAGGGACAGTGGGAAGATTTCCCAAACTTGCAGCATAAGTGGGACCTCGTACAATGATACGGGCCATGGGCATGGAACACCTGGGCATGTGACTGGATGGATGTATATAAATCAAGATGGTAGGATGTGTGGCCCTTACATTCCACAGCAGTTATGCGAGGGTTTATCTAGTGGCTTCTTGCCAGAGGAGCTCCTCGTTTATCCCATTGTGAATGGAAATTTTGTTAATCCCGTGCCACTCAAGTTCTTCATTCAGTTTCCCGACCATGTTCCGACAGGCTTTGTTTATCTCAATGTTGCTGTCCCTAGCATAAAAGACACCACAAATGATCACCATGGTCGCAATCGGCTAAGGCTATTATCTAAGAACACGGACGATATTTCAAACTTGCCATCGGAAATGTTGCTTGTACTCTCAAGGATTATACCATGTGAGAACCCATAAATTTGGGGTAGTGTGGCCATGCCTTTGCCTCATTGATTGTATCAGTTGAAATAATTGCACTTCTATTATTTTGTATTATACATATTATTGATATTATTGGTTTCTTTAGTATATGGTTTGGATTGATGAGTTTTTCCATTCACATGGACATCTTTGTTAAAATGAATTTATAACCCTTGTTGGGTATAGATTTTTTGAATTCATTTTTTATCAAACTCAATAATACATTCTACCAAGAGAATAATTTGCAAGTAGATCCATAACATTTTTCTATGTTTTAATCACATATTCTTCAATAATATCATTTTTTACAAAAAATAAAAACAAAAATTATAGTAATGGCAGATTTGAATCTTATGAAAACGAGATAAAAGTTTAATACCTGTCTATATATACTACTATAAAGTGTGAATATAATAATCATTCTCAACCAACAAGAAAATCAACGTTTATAAAATATCAAAGCAACAACAATGCGTTCCATTAATTAATTTTTTGAGACAACAATCGAAGACATCTATTTTCCTTTTTAACAATATTAGAGATAAATCTTCACGTTTCAAAAATATCTTAACTTCCCTTATTTCTATTTTTGAGTATAAGTAGAAATTGTTAATATCTAAGTTGCTCATGTAAACAATTCGCCAGGGCAAGGATGAAGATGGACAATACCACCCTATTGCCATTTCAGTTTAATTATGTGATGAATAAAGCGAATAATCCAATTGCAATGGTATCAAAAATGTTACAAAAAGCAAGTTCATTATATGCTATCGCAATTGGATTATTCTCTTAAATTAAAAAATAGTTTCACTCGTGAAGTGAAAGAATCAATAAATATATGCAATGTTGAGTTTGATGAAATAGATGGTAACGTTTACTAATTACTGTAACATTTTGGGGTGCTTTTCATAGCTTTAGAAGGAGAGAGAAAGAAGATGCGATCGAGTAGGGCTTGAGTTGAAAGAATGGCTCTTGTTGAATCGATCGAGAATTCAAGAGATGAGGATGACCTTTCTTTTTTGCTTCGACCATAAATCAAAATAGAGGCAACAAAGCCACCCTACTTAGATCCTAGATCGTTTTGTTTTCCATCCCAATGTAAGCAACACTTCAGGTTTACTACTTTTGGGATCTTCTGTTTTTCCTTTAGTTTAGCTCTTTTAGAAGTAAAGGAAGTAGAGAGAACTAGATCTAGATACCCTACTTATCCCTAGTGATTTTAGTGAATAGAAACCCTAACTCTTTGAAAAGGTCGAAAAAACGTCTTTCCATTTTCTCAGCCTTATTTTTGGAGTAAATTTCTTTCCAAAGACCTTTCTCTTTTTAGAGGGATTTTAAGCTTCTTATGATTTCATTTATGGCTATTATACAGAATGGACACCGCTATCCAGCTCAGATCTAGCCAGGTTCATAGAAAAAATGGGCTACGGTGGGGTCAAAAGATGGTCCCGCGATCATACCAATAAGAATTGTGCTATGCCTAGTAATTCGTATAGAGAGAAAGAGCTATCAATGCAGTATGATAAGTATAGGTTGTGACTTTTGTTGGGAATTTACATAACATGTATAGCGAAAAATAAATTATTTTTCAATTCTCACCAAGAATATGCTTTGTGCTTAGAGAAAAATTGTGATAGAAATTATACATTTGATGAATTTTACAAACTCTTTTGCTGATTCTCAAAAACGAATAATCACAAACTGCAATCCATAGCTATCTAATTGTCCAACCTCCATTGAAAACCCGATCACAATGCTTAACTACATGAATTATTATTTTGATCTAATCAAAATCGATAAATTAAAATACTCCTTTTAATGTATCACCAATTCACATTCGTCGTCCCAAATTGACATCTAACAATATGTCAGGACAATACAATGTCACGTGGTATGACAAAATCAAATTTGTTCGTTTATCGTGAAACTATAATCCATTCGTTAATATGATCGATCAATTACGAGATATAGATATGTGTCAATCTCAATTATCGATCATATCTTTCATCTCACTATTAAGTCAATGTAAGTCGAAAAATCCATTTCGACTTATGAGTTCACTTTGGCCAATGATTTCATTATCAATTTAACTGAATGAAATGTAGATCATAATTTCTTACTATCTAAGAGTGACGAATCCTTTTTTGATCATTCATAACCTTCATATGATTCTCGACATACCCGAATGAAGTCGTATTAGAGACCCTTGGCAGAGCAACATCCAATATCATCAAAGTATGACTGTCATCATATAAGGCAGTATGATGACCTTAAGTCAAATGACCAATTCCAGTACCGAACGTTAGAGATTAACCACTGGCACTCAGATAGTTATCCATGTTGAATCTTCCAACTGGTCTTCAACATTGTGTTCTATAACAAAACATCTACGTGTTCATTTAAGTGTAACCAGCTTTTAGCTTGTGAGATCAGCTACTTACTTCGCAAGTAAGAAATGTCGCATGTGATGGTCTATCTGTAATAACGATATCCATATCTCATTATCACTTACGACCACAGATAATTTAAGATTTAGTCATATGTAATTTGTTTTTGACAATCACAACTCATTGTGATTAACTTTGAATCTACGAATTCTATTATTTAATTTATTATAAAATTGATTCAATTAAAAAATAGATTTTGCCATAAATATGCATCAATTATATATTAAAAGTGTTTTTGTCCAAAGTTAATTGGATTTAGGGCGTAACACTTATAAACTCCCACTTGCACTATATTCAATTACTTATGTATATAATATCATAAGAGTTTACACGATGATCATGTTATGCAGCGACAACTCTTTTGTCATTGGATTTACAATTTAATAACATGTGGGAATTTATTCTTTCTTTACGTCATTTCATTGTATTATCTTAACACGTGTTTGGATTATTGATGAGATCTTAGTTCATTCGCTTGCACGATACGATGGCTCCATTGTTATTACAATGCAGAGGCATTGGATCAACAATGTTAGGAACTACTCCGAGTTCATTGATGAACTTCCTGATCCAAACCACAACTTTTGTTGCTTTCTAAAGCAATGATGTATAAAGCTTTTAATATTGAATCAATGACTATTTCTTGTTTGGAACATTTCAAACACACCGCTTAAAAGTAAACCAATATCCTAATCAAAATATGATATCATTCTAGTCTGACTAGAAGTTAGCATCAGTGTATCCATGAACTCTCAGTTTCATTTTTTTCCATATAAATCTTCTCAAAATTTTATCTATATAGATTGAGATGAGTTAAGCGATCTTATCAATCTATCTCTATAAATCAAGTTACTTCTATCATATCCATCGCGAAAAAATATTTGACAACAATAATTTCAATAATAAAAATATAGGGACGTCATTTCCTATAATATGTTTTATATATATAATATTAGGAATACGACAATGTTCCCACTATCTTCTTATAAACACACAGTTTGTCTTCATTTTTTTTAAAATCAAACATTTTAACTTTCACATCAAATCGAAGATTTTAGCTCCAAGAGACTTGTTTCAATCCATACATGGATTGATCTCATTTTCATACCTTGTTGACTTCTTTGGATTCAAAACTTTCGAATTTTATCATGTACACTTCCTCTTGTAAGTTCATATTAAGGAATGCAATTTTAATATCCATTTCACATAACTCATAGTTATGGTATGCAAATATTGTAAGAAAAATCCAAATGAATTTTAGCATAGTTACAGACGAAAAAGTTTTATCAAAGTCAACACATTGTCTTTGTTTATAACTTTTTGCTACTAACATTACTTTGTATGTATGAATATTTTCATCTATGTCGACCTTTTTCTTGTAAACTCATTTACAATCTATGGGCTTTATCTAATCAGGCTAGTCGATCAAGGTCTAAATCTTGTCATCTCTTTGAGTTAACACATTGTTTTTGTGTAATTAGTATGATCATTATCCTCGATTAGTAATGCCTAATGAGGAATCATGGATTCGTACCTTCTATGAGGTCGAATGATCCTACAAGATTTATACGAAACCGACGTGTCCCCAGAAGTTTCCATTTCCTGATCAAGAGTATGTCACTCAGCACGTATGAGATCAAACTCAGGTTCATCTACTTAGTCAACTATATTTGTGAATGCTTGAACTCTTTCAAGATTTATTCTATTCCCACTGTCCTCTTCTATAATAAACACTTTCTCTAGGAGTATGGCATGTCTTGAGATGAATACCTTCTTCTCAACGGGATAATATAATTGATATCAAATTGCCTTTTTAGATATCCTACTAATATACATTTATTGGATTTAGTCTCAAACTTATCCAATTCAGTGTGCTTCACATAAGCGTTACAGCCCTAAAATTTCATATGCAATAAGTTGGGCATTCTGACTTTCCATGACTCGTATGGAGTTATGTCAACCGACTTAGATAGGACACAATTTAGTACGTAGCATGTGTCAATCAGTGCATGACTCCAAAATGGTTTTGAAAGGTTTGTGCGGCTTGTTATTAATTACACTATATCTAATAATGTACGATTCATCATTTCAGATACAATATTATGTTGCAGTGTATGTAGAGGAATCCACTACGAGAGATCTTATTCTCTTTTGGATAATCTAAAATTCTTCCCTTTAGATATTCTTCACCTCGATCAAGTCTTACTGTGAAAATACATTTATCTATTTGTTTCTCTATTTCTAGTTTGAATCCTTTGAACATTTCAAGAGTTTCATACTTGAATTTCATCAAATATATATGACCATTTCTGAAATAGTCATTAGTAAATGTGATGAGATAAGAAAGACTTCATCTAGCATTAATTAATATGGGTTCGCATACATCACTATGCATTAGACCAAGTAATTGTGCAGATATTTCACCTTTTCAAGTAAAATGAAATTTGATCATTGTGCTTAACAGACACGTTCAAATGTACATTTCCATGTAATTTTGGAATTGAATTCTCTTTTATATGACCAAATCTACAATATGTTTATTCAGATTATCTTATACTTTTCAATTTCTATACTTATTATAGAATACTCAATATTTAGAATATAAATGTTATTTTGTAATTTGTCAAAACCATAGAAATTTTATCAAGATACAAAAGGAACAACAATTGTTCTTAACATTAAAATAATTCATGTCCAAACATGAAATTTATTTAATGCACTGGTAATTGTGGATACAAAATAGCATTTCTCTAATTTTAATACTAAGCCTAAAGTCAATGGCAAAAAGTATGCTCCTACGGGTAATGCAACAATTTTTGCTCATTTTTCAACATACATGTCAATTTCTTCATTTTGCAGTGATCTACTTCTATTTAGTTTCTGCATATTTATACAAATATGAGATCCATATCTGATATCCAATATCTAAGAACATAATGAAGTAGACTTAGCCTTGCAATTTCCTTTCCAATAATCTATCATTTCAAAATGATAATAAGAGTATTAGATTTGATATTCTCCTTATTCGATTTGACCGTTTTAGCCATCTGGTTGCTTTCCTTTTCGAAGAAAATCTGAAAGGGTCTAGAATCTATGACTATGATTTGCCCATTACAAACTTAGATATTGAGTTTAACATTCTTAAGCATGTTCAGCAACTCAATAAATGTGCATTCGAGTTTATTCATGTTAAATTCATAATTAGGCATGAATAACTCTCTGACGGATATTGCAGATGCAAGTCTATACTTAGTTCATGGTTCATGACTGAACTTAATTGAGACAGCTTCTCAATGTAGTTAACATCTTCAGTACACGAGCACTGACTGAACATTCTTTTGCCATTATGCACTGGTATAATTGCTATGAGATTTCATATCTTTCCACACATGGTTGTTCACCATTCAACACCTCGAGATGAAAAATCATGTATTAACATCTATACTTTCATGTTGCTTTTGTAACTCAAGTGACATAGTTGCAAGCATCACACATGTTGCAGTACTATCGTCATCACCGTGTTTATTATAGTAACCATATCTTCCTTTATCGAGTCATCAATAGGTGATTTTGGAAATAGCTACTCAAGGATATAATCAATTTTCTTATTCCTGAGAACAATTTTCAGATTGCGATGCCAATCAAGAAAATTTGGTTAGTTGTTGGCATCTAGTATGCCTCTCAAATACATTATGGTTACTCATAATTCAATAAATGACGAAAAATAAAAGAATAATATATAGAATGTATTAATTAATTTAACATGATCTTTTATTAAATTAAATAGGTTCCTACTTTTTAACTTAAATTTACGACCCTCTCACATAAATTTATGGAATGCATACTTGGCTCTCAGTGTGTTGGGATCCCATTTGTTGTATTAAAATCTTGAGTGTACTCAACAAGTCTTAATAAAACATTTGGGAAGATACTATTATCATTTGTATCTCTATACAACTCCTAGATCATTAAGTTGACAACTCTTTGCCTTTACACATCTTATGTGTTAGTTTAACATGCCTCTAAAATTTATCTCCTTTAGTAAATTTATCTCGTTAAGTGTACTCAACAAAAGATAAATTTTAGTTAAGTTGAACTCATCATTCAAAAATATCAAATATTTCAAAGAGTCAAATATATCNTAATATTTCATAGTGTCAAACATATCCCTAATGGACCAGCCTTGAGTGTACTCAACAAGCTAAGATCGATTTAGGACTCTCGTTTTTCACTATAATGATGGAAGGCAAATAACAAATTGACTTAATATTTTTAACGAGGGGTTTTCATGCAAAATGTCTCATCGTAATAATTATATATATTTTATTATACATCTGACATGCAAATAAACATACATATAATAGTGTGGATGATTAAAGCACATTGATCCAATTAAAAATCGAATCAAAGTACAGTGTCAACGAACTAAATTTACCTAAAAAGATTGACCTAAACCCAAATATTTGTAATTGATACATTAATTTTTATATCATTTCCCATAATTAATAATAAATTTTGTTAAATCACCAATGCCCCTGTCGGGCCGTCGGCTAACTCCCATGAAAAAGCTCAAAAACAAATGCCCTTTCTTCGAAATAAATTTTGTGGAAAGAGGCAATTGAAATTGAATCGACTGTCGGGCAGAGGACTCTCTTTTTCCGCCCTCATCACTCTCTACTTTGACTTCGAGCGATCCAATTCCTCAACCTCGTCTTTTGATCTGGTAACTCTCTCCCTCTCTCATGTATTTGTGCCTATGCGTATGTAACAATTAATCAGGCAACTCACTGTGTAATGATTTTTGCTCAGCTCTTTTTATTTAGGAATTTAATCTTGCATATTGCAGTTTCCATTTTTTTTTTTTTTAAATATGCTGGATTAGAATCACTGATCTGACTTCATTCCTAAAAACTGAGATGAATATGGGTTCTGTTCATGCTGGATTTTTCTTTTTCAATTACTTTGCAGAACTTTCATGTAAAAAAGTATCTAAACTGTAATGATGTGTTATTATTTGTGATTGATTGCCATCACTGCATCACTGCTCGGCGAATGTAAAGTATAAAGTACATCGTTTCAGTGTGGCCTCTATTTCCTTTTCCATAGTTGATTTGAAGGAAAAAGGGGTTCTGGTGGTGGTTTACCTCTAAGCTAAGTTGAGTAGTATTGACGTCCAAATTTGTCGAGTCAAACATGCAAGGTAGCCTAATTATGCTTTGTGATCTTACTCCGGACTTGCAAAACAAATCTCTTTCCAGGAGCACTATGATCTGACACTCAAGTTAGTTGGAAGTTTAGCTAGGAGAGCGGAGAATAAACACTATTGTGCAAAAGCATTGTAGGGATAGTTTGCAATGATTATGAGATCGCATGATTTTACCTTCCCCTAGGGAGTTTACATGCTTGAACATTAGGCAGAGTGTGATAAGACCTGGGTATCAATGTCCTATTGTAAACGGGAGACTTCTCTAATTGGCTTAAAAGCCTTTGACGCACTTTCTTAGAATCTCTGCATCGACTTGTTTCTAGGTGGATACTTCTTAAATAAGCTAGGATTTTATAATGAAGATATGTTCACAGCTTCCCCACTTCTGAGGCTTCACAGTTCTCTTCATGATTCAGAGATTTTTTTGTGCCTTTTATGCCTAACCAAAGTTACATATTGTCCTCTAGCATATTTTTTCCGATATCAAATCCATTTATATAGTGATTATTGATTAACTATCGGGAATTTTCAACTTCACTGGATCTACTGCTTCATTGAAAAGATAACAGTGATGACAATCATCAATGCTCTCAAATTGTCCAATTCTTAGTAGAGTTACCTGTCATGGAAAATTTCACTGAAATAGAATTCTTATTCCACCCCTAGTAACTTCTTTCTGCATTCATTATTTAGGTTCACCATCGTGTTTTTACACGGTTTCTCATGATTCACACTGCATTCCTTTTAGATATGAACTGAATGGAATTCTTGATTTCATCGTGTTATCCACAGTTGTTGTTGTGGAGAATTGCAAAGTGCTGGAGTGTGGCCAGATCAGGTTTCAAGATTAATTCTTGACCACTATAATAGTTAGAATCAATGACACACTAACATAGATGAATTGAGATTGTTAAAAGCAGAGAGGTTTTGGGGCTTTACTTGAATTATAGTATTACATTCTTCTTGTTGTTTGCCTATCGTTCTCCACATACTACTATGGTAATTTGTTGACTTTAACTATTTCAACTACCAACTTTGAGGGGTTTCTTAATTGGTTAGATCATGGGTTTGCTTTCCAATGGTTATCAGTTAAAATTCCCTCAGGACCACTGAGGTGAGTACCTGACAGTAAACTTCAGGCCCCTGTTGGATTAGTCGAGGTGCGCGCAAGTTGGCCCGGATATCCACGGTTAAAAAAAAAAAAAAACTATTTCAACTACCGAAATACCCAATTGCCTGATTATGCTTCATGATCTCACTATGCCAGTGGATCTGCAAAACGAATTGCGTGTAAAGTGGCAGTAAGGGTTACCGATCAAGGGTTCTCCAATGATCAAATTTTGGGTTTAGATAGGGAAAAGAATAAACACTTTTGTGCATGAGCTGTGGTTCTCTTGCCTTGTAAAATCAGGATGTATAATATTTAAAGATGCTATGATTATGAGATAAGATGATTTTTTGAGCCCCATGGGATTTACAAAACATAAACATTACAGGTAGTTAATAAGATTTTGATATCCTTATATTATTATAACTAGGAGTCTTTGCTCCTCTAGGCTACAGAGTCTTGAATGTGTTTTTATCAGAAACCTTGCATTGATAGATTTTAAGTGTATAATAAATGATTTTCTGTTTAGATAGTCTAATATTTGTCCTCCACAACAAATAGCTTCTTTTCCACAAATAATTAACATTAGACCTTCATTATTTAATTCAATGTGTACAATATATGATGGTATTTTTCTTAGATAAATGCACATTGAATCTCTGTGTTGCACGAATACTTCAATTAGGGTGGCACGTCCTTATTCGATTCGTGTCAACAAGTATAATGGTATTTTTCTGACACTCTATCATGGTAATTTTCTTTCTTTATAAAAAAATATATAATACTTTTAACTTAAATTTATTATTAAATAATAAATAGACACTCTCATTGAAAAGATTTAAACAAGAAAAATTAATAACAAGAATAAAATTAGATTTATACTATATTGTTATGAACTGTGTGCATTAATTTAGAAGTAAATTTGATGTATATGGTAGGTGTATAAGTCTAGAATTATTTCCTTGTTAGATATGATTATTTCATTTAGAGAAGTACCCTCTACATGTATATATAAGTAACCTGTTGATGAAGGAATATGAAATTGAGGTTCTCCCAAATCAATTAACATGGTATTAGGGCCATACCTATGAGAAATCATTTAATCTTTGTGGTTGTGTGCTTTGGAATCGCCGACGACATTTTCTGTTCCCTGTTTCATTAGTGGTTATTGATTTTCTGTAGGTGCATGTCATGGGTGGTCGGATTTTTTGTGAGATTCTCCGGCGCCTTTGTGATACGATTGGCGTAACTGTGTGTCGCTGGCGTCTCTGTGAGTGATCGACGAGATCTATGTGAGGGTTGTGGGCTTTGTGACCTGAGGCATACTTTTGTGGTTGGAGTTGCATGAGAGTTTCTCTAGTGTCTCTGTGAATGGATCAGTGTGACTGTGCGTGGTTTGTGTGGAGTTTGTGATGCACGTTTGTGAAGCCTACTAATTTGTGTGGGCTGTGTGTTTTTGTGGACCATATTTTGAAGTGGGCCTAATTTTTTTTTTTTTTGCGTAAGCTTGCTGTTGGGTGGACTCCGTTTATTTGAACTGCTTTCTTTTGTGTCTTTTTATTATTTGTTAATCATGGACGAAAGTGATAAGAAAATAGTGAATGAAATCACATTAACCCTATCCTCAAAAATCATAGATAGAAAGTTAACGAGTAGTAGGAATTATGCTCAATGGAAGAGAATTATTCCCAAATTTGTGTTAGTGTGGATTTGGGCGATCACTTGACTGATGACCCACCTCCACAATCCGATACTAATCTTGGGATTCGAAAGAAATGGCTGATGAAGGATGATAAACTCTTTAATCAGATTCAAAATACCTTTGACTCGACGGTTGACGATGTCATTAATCATTGTGATACTGTAAATAAATTGTGGGATTATCTAGAATTTTTTTATGCAAGTAAATAGGATGTATCGCACGTTCATGAACTGATGTTATAGATTTATCGGGCTGAGCAAAAGTGGCGAAATTTGTTTCAATTTTATACTGAGATAAAACAAGCATTCGAAGAAAAGTATTCCATGTTTCCTATTACTAGTGATGTGAAGACAATGCGTGAACAAGAAGATTGTGGTCCAGTGTTTTCTTTTAGGTTTCGATCCTGAATCCATTAAGTGGGAATATTATATTATTTAGGGAATGATTGTTTTTTATTTGAGAATTGATTCTCAAATCAATTCTCATTTTCAATCACATATTTTTCAATAAAATAATATTTTCCATCACATCAATAATTTTTTCTTCTTTTTCAACCACACATTTCCCATCATATCACTATTCAAAAATCAATTCTTCCCCCAAAAATCCCTACCAAACAAGCTCTTAATCAAGTAAGTGGTGTGTGTAAAAATTATATAAATTCAAATTTTGTTCAACAATTTGGTCTTATAAACTATGTCATTTGTCCTAATATTGTTTTATATTTTTACCAGCATTAAATTTATGGTCGAACTTTATTTGAGATTGAATATTTCATTTTGCTTATCGATTTATTAAGTTTTAAGCTCATAGATTAGCTAGTTAAGAAAAATATGAATACATATTGCATACTTTAATTTAATGGCCCAAATTTAATGGACATTTCAAGCCCCCAAAACTCCGACCTCGATTAAATTTCATCTACACTGAACATTATTCCCGGCTCCACCCCTAAATATTTGCATATGTTGTTGCAATTTGTTATTTTCTTGTAGCATTCATTGGATATCACACATTTGGGATTATAGTCGATGAAAATATTTTTCTTTCACTTGAAAAATCCAACCGACTTGTTGCAATGGCTAACATGTTCGTTGTTGTTCATGTATTGGAAATTATCAGGTAAATCTTTTTTTTCGAAAAGTTCCTGCTTCGATTTATTCAACGAGTTATATTTTATCGTGTTTATTCATCTTTAGTTTTTGGAAAACTCATGTATATGTCATGTCGGTGTTTGACATAATAGAAACTTGGGATGTAAGGCAAGGTACGATCGAACGCCGATGATTGAAGTCTACTGTCCTTGGAACGCCTGAGTTTCACTCGAGCGTCCTTAATTTTTGACACCACAATAAAAATGGTTTAGGTCCGCCCCTGCACAAGTCAAACTCAAATTTGCCAATATTGCTACTCAAGACAGTCTTCTATCAACACCTAATACACTTCCATCTCAACATGAAGAAATGATGGCCTGGAGCATAATCATACTTGAGATTTGGTTCCTTTACCCCTCAATGAAATGGCAATCGAATGTAAATGGGTGTTTATTGTCAAGATGAACCTTGATGGATCTGTTGCTCGATTGAAGGCTTGTTTGATTACTAAGAGATATGTTTCCTCTTCTGAACATTACCAAAAATCTCCCATCGCAAGTATAACTCCATCTCTTCTCTGAAGATTAATGGAGTGTTATCTTCTGATCAAGAGGCCATTTCGAGGGGTATCACTCAGTTTTATCAAGATTTATACCAGGAAGGAGGGTCTAGGAGACCGACGCTAGATGGCCTTGAATTTTCTACGATCTCAAATATGGATTCGGTTTGGTTAGGGAGACCCTTTGAGGAGGAGGAAGTGCTGGGTGTTATTCAAGGGTTTAATGGTGACAAAGCTCCAGGTCCAGATGGTTTCTCTATGGCTTTCTTTCAAGTGTGTTGGTCTGTGGTTCATTCGGATATCATGGCTGTTTTGAGGGCTTTCCATGTGTCTGGATCATTCGAAAAAAGTCTCAATGCCACTTTCCTAGCTCTTATTCCTAAAAAGGTGGGGGCGGTAGAGGTAAAGGACTTTCGTCCTATCAGTCTTGTGAATGGGTTTTACAAGATCTTGGCAAAATTTTTGGCTAATAGGTTAAGGTTGGTGCTGCCAAAGATTATTTCATCATCTCAGAATGCTTTTGTCCAGGGGAGGCAGATTCTGGACTCGGTACTTATAGCTAGTGAATGCCTGGATAGTAGATTAAAGAAGGGGGATCCTGGTGTTTTATGCAAACTTGATGTGGAAAAAGCCTACGATCACGTTAATTGGGATTTTCTCCTCTATTTGCTTCGGAGATGCGGATTTTCGCAATTATGGATTTCATGGATTCATTTTTGCATCTCTACGGTTCGGTTTTCCATCCTAATCAATGGTAGTCTGAGTGGTTTTTTCGCAAGTTCGAGGGGACTAAGGTAAGGGGATCCGTTATCCCCCTTACTCTTTGTCATTGTTATGGAGGCTCTTAGTCGGATTATGGACCGGGCTATTAGTGGAGGTCTTTTTTCAGGATTCATGGTGGGTTCCCCGGATGATCAGCAAGTTTGGATATCTCATCTTCTTTTTGCGGATGATACCCTGATTTTTTGTGATGCTGATCTAGTTAAATTGGAGCATTTGCGATCTGTATTTTTGTGGTTTGAGGCAGTCTTTGGGTTGAAGATCAACTTGGGTCAGTCTGAGATGGTTCCGGTGGGAGAGGTCCCTAACTTGGAGGTCTTAGCTAATATTTTGGGTTGTCAGGCTGCTTCTCTTCCAATGAAATATTTGGGTTTGCCTTTGGGTGCTTCCTTTAAGGCCAAATCGATTTGGAATCCGATTATTGAGCGTATGGAGAAGCGCCTTGCAGGATGGAAACGCCTTTACTTATCAAAAGGGGGGAAGATAACTTTAATTAAGAGCACTCTCTCTAATTTACCCACTTACTTTTTATCGCTCTTCCCTATTCCGGCTGGGGTGGCACACCGCTTAGAGAGGATTCAGAGGCACTTTCTTTGGTCTGGTATGGGGGAGGAGACGAAATTCCACTTAGTTTCGTGGTCTTAGGTTTGCGAGCCTGTTCAGTATGGTGGGTTGGGAGTGAAGGATCTTCAGCGTTTCAATAGGGCTCTGTTATGCAAGTGGTTGTGGCGTTTTGGTACGGAGAGGGATGCTCTTTGGCATCAAGTGGTGGAAGCCAAATATGGCAGCATTTGGGGGGGTTGGTGTACAAAGGAAATGAGGGGTTCCCATGGGGTGAGTTTATGGAAATCAATTCATCAAGGCTGGCATGTGTTCTCGAAACACCTGTTTTACTTGGTGGGGGATGATTCTCGGGTGAAATTCTGGCATGATAGGTGGTGTGGTGGTGCTCCATTGAAGGAGGCTTATCCAGAACTTTTCTCTATCGCCCTAGACAAAAATGTGTCAGTAGCTGCTCTTATGTCTCACATTAATGGTATGCTTCGTTGGGATGTGCTCTTCACGCGGAATGTGCAGGATTGGGAGTTGGAATCTATATCTTCTTTTATGGATCTTCTTTACTCTACTTCGGTGCAAGGTACAGGGGAGGATTTGATTAGTTGGGGCTCTCCGGCTTCTAAGGCCTTTACCGTTAAGGCTTGCTATCGTTACTTGAGTTCCCCTTATCCTAGAAAATTTCCTTGGAAGTGTGTGTGGAAATCCAAGGCCCCTCCTCGTGTAGCGTTCTTCTCGTGGACTGCAGCTCTAGGGAAGATCTTGACTATGGATAACCTTCGTAAACGTGGCCTTATTTTGGTGGATTGGTGTTGTTTATGTAGGGAGAGTGGGGAGAGTCCTGACCATATTCTTTTGCACTGCAAGCTTGCTCGGGAATTGTGGGATATGGTGTTTGCTTTGTTTGGGGTCCAGTGGGTCATGCCAAATACTGTTTTTGATCTTCTCTCATGTTGGCAGGGGTATAGTGGCAGTAGTAGGACCTGGTTGATATGGAGGGTTGTTCCCCACTGTGTTTTTTAGTGTGTTTGGAGGGAAAGAAACGGTCGACATTTCGAGGATACTGAGACCTCCATTTCGGAGTTGAAGAACAGTTTCTTTCATTTATTGATTGAGTGGGTTAAGGGCATGAGTGTTCTTTCCGTCAGCTCTCTTTTAGACTGGTTGGACCATTGTAATCATTGATTTCTTTGTCCTTTTGTATACTTCTAGTGTACTGGGACCTTTTTAATAAAGTTTCTTTACTTATCAAAAAAAAAAAAGAGATGTTCAAACTTATGGTGTGGATTACTCTGAGACTTTCTCTCCCGTTGCTAAGCTGGCTTCTGTTTGGTTATTCATATCTCTTGTCGCTACCTATCAATGGCCGCGTTATCAACTGGATGTTAAATATGCATTCCTCCATGGTGATTTGCTAGAAGTATACATGGAACAAACTAGGGTTTGATGCTCTGGGGGAGTCAAGGAAGGTATGCAAATTGCAAAAGTNTACTCAAGACAGTCTTCTATCAACACCTACTACACTTCCATCTCAACATGAAGAAATGATGGCCTGGAGCATAATCATACTTGAGATTTGGTTCCTTTACCCCTCAATGAAATGGCAATCGAATGTAAATGGGTGTTTATTGTCAAGATGAACCTTGATGGATCTGTTGCTCGATTGAAGGCTCGTTTGGTTACTAAGAGATATGTTCAAACTTATGGTGTGGATTACTCTGAGACTTTCTCTCCCGTTGCTAAGCTGGCTTCTGTTCGGTTATTCATATCTCTTGCCGCTACCTATCAATGGCCGCGTTATCAACTGGATGTTAAATATGCATTCCTCCATGGTGATTTGCTAGAATTTTACATGGAACAAACTAGGGTTTGTTGCTCAGGGGGAGTCAAGGAAGGTATGCAAATTGCAAAAGTCATATGATATGAAACAATCATCACGTGGAGTTTGTGATTGAATTTGGCTTGCAAAGAAGTACATATGATCTCTCAGTATTCTTTAAACAGTCTACAGTTGGGTGTATTTTTTTAGTGGTATATGTTGATGATATTGTGGTTACTGGTAGTGATAGCAGTGACATAAGTATGCTAAAGGCTTTCCTAGGCACATGGTTTCGGACAGAGGAGTTGGGTCCTTTGAAATATTTTTTAGGAACAGAGGTCTCTCGAAGTGGTAAAGGGATCATTCTGTCTCAAAGGAAATATGTCTTAGACCTACTAGATGAGAGGTTTAACTGGAGCAAAGCGTGGTGATGCCCCCCATGATACGAAATGTGAAACTCGAGGCTAGAGATGGAGATGTGTTTGTTGATACGGACAAATACAAGAGAGTGGTGGGAATTTTGAACTATCTCACAATTATTCATCTAGACATTACCTTTCCTGTAAGTGTTAAGTCAATTTATGTCATCTCCTAAAACTTCACATTGGGATGCCGTTACTCATATATTAAAATATTTCAAACGAGCTCCAGGGCGTGGGATTCTTCATAGAGACCACGATCATTATAGAGTTGAGGGTTTCTCATATGTTGACTGGGCAGGTTCTCTTGTAGATAGGCGCTTTACTACATGGTATTGTGTTTTTGTTGGAGGTAATTTAGTCTCTTGGAAGAGTAGGAAACACGTGTTGTAGCTCGATCAAGTGTAGAATCTGAATTTCGAGCTATGGCACAGGTAACTTGTGAACTTATGTGGCTACATCACTTACTTGGGGAGATTGACATCGATTAGTCCAACTTCATGACCTTGTGGTGTGATAATCAACAGCTATTCACATTGCCACTAATTCAGTATTTAATGAGAGAACAAAGCACATAGAGGCAGACGATCATTTTGTTCTTGAAAAGTTACAACAAGGGTTGATATCGACTAAGCATGTCAGAATAAGGGATCAATTAGCTGATGTGTTCACAAAAGCCTTAGCTGGGGCTCGAGTAAACTATATTTGTAACAAGTTGGGTATGATTGATATCTACGCTCTAGTTTGAGAGGGAGTGTTATACCGTGTGCATTAGTTTAGAAGTAAATTTAATGTATATGGTAGGTGTGTAAGTCTAGAATTATTTCTTTGTTAGATAGGATTATTTTCTTTTGAGAAGTATCCTCTACACGTGTATATATATATATATATATAAATGAATTTTTTTAAAGAATTTAATCAACGTATTGACGACGTTTCATGACAGTGCTTTTTTAAAAAATCGTGTGTTGACGTGTTCGACACATGTTGTGTCGGTGCATCATAGTTGAACCTCAATGAACATAACTTGTGCAAATTATCTAGCGTTACTATTTACCTCTATTTGTACAATTTTTAGTAACTGTTTACCTCAATGTTCTTTTCCTTGTAAAATTGAAATGACTCTGAATTATATTTGATTCTTATGTGTTAGCTGTCTGAAAGGAAATTAAGTCAAGGTTGCTCATTATCTCATTATTTCATAAAAGGCACAGAAGCCTCAATTTTTCAGTGAAACTAACATGTAAATTAGCATTTAGCTTAGCTAACTGTTTTGGCCTTAGAAACATAGTTGAACTCTCTTATTCTCAATTGAAATGAAACTGATACCAGAAATATGAAATTCCATGCATCTAGGATTATGAATTATCAAAAATCTCCATAATAATTACTAGAAGAAACTGGAAGCCACTTTGGGTGCTCACATGACATGTAACCTGTAGGAAATGGCTGGAGAAACTAAGAATGATGCTGCAGAGTCTGCGACTACAGATACCGAGCTTAAGCCAACAAAGAAAAAAAAGGGAGTACTGTCAAGAATATGGAATGCACTATTTAGACTGCATGGGGATGATTTTGAAAAAAGACTGCAATATATAACCAAGGAAGAGGCTTCTGTCCTTGCCAGAATTAAAAGGCGTTCTCATAGTTCAAGGAGGATGGCTAGGAATATCATTATATTTTCTGTAGTTTTTGAGGTAAAACAGCCCTTCTTTATTCTATTATATTTGGTGAAATATATGATATTTGTATTACAGCTGGGGCCTAATGCATCCATATTTTTGGTAGATATTTTGAACTGTTATTGTATATATCATTTACTCTATGAAAATACGAATTTGTATAATTGTATTTTACATACTGGCAGAATATATTTTGATGGTTATTTATTTGGTTCCAAGGTGAGCGCATCCAGCTAGTCATGTATTTTCCTTTTTCCCCTTTCTTTGTTTCCTCTTCCCCCTTAGAACCAATTAGAATTTAGTTTGCCTTATCATATTTTTCCATACAAGGTTTGCATCAACCTTGTCACCTCATTTATGTGGGGAATGCAGCTGCCTCACCCACTCTCTTTCTTTCTCTTTAGTTCGAATGCTTACAGTTCTGCTGCTTGAGAACTTCTCATCAGTCTCTGCCTTCTCCTCTCCCTCCAGTTCTTTCAGACATCCTCATTGCCACATCCTTCCTAGAGACAAAATCAGCTATTACTCATTGTCCTGAAATTATATCAACTTTTTTGGCACTCCTCCACGAGCTGCTGCTTCTTGCTTCTTTATGTCACTGTTTTCATTATTTTATCAGATTAGTTAATTGATGGATCATTACATTTTATTCTCACTTGCTTGGAATTATTTATTTATTTATTTTTTGTAAAGGGATTTTGCTATGCCTGTTATCTGTTGCTGTTTATTCCTTCCCCCCACCTATGAGTTTCCTAATCATTAATTTTATTGCTAGATATGATTCAACACATCTATGATATTCCTAGTCATGCATTTGAATACGATCCTCTTACGTTGAAAAAGTATTCCCTAAATTTCAATGCCATCGACAAAGTGAAAAATAAAGGGGTTAAAACATGCAGTTCTCATAGTTTTTGAAATTTTTTTGTATTATATGGAAAGCACTGGTAACAGAGAACTAGAAAAGTGTAATCAAATATTTATTCAATAAACTCAACAAACCCATCCTTTCTTCTTCTTCTTTTTTTTTTTTATTTGGCCTGAGGGTGGGGCTAATCCTTCCTATTTGTTAAAGGAATCCTAGAAATACTTAGCACTCCATCCTAAGTAGTGAAGATAAGCCTTTGTGGAAATAAATTGAGTTGAATTCACTTTCCAAATCAATAATAATTTCGTGATGAATATAACCCAACTTCTATGCCACAATGTGTGTTGTTATGTCTACCATTTTGTATAATTTGCCTCTAAGTGTCTCTCACATTCCGTTTCCTTTGCGGTGGGTATTTTATGCATTGTAATCTTTAATGTTGTCTAAGATCTATAACATTGTAATAGTAGAGGAATGATCTTAATGCCGAATTAAGGGCTCGCATCCAGACGTTGAAAGGGGAATTAGATTAACTGATCAAGGTAGTGGAAAGTGGGTCCCAGGAACACTTATTGTCATAAGTGTGGGGTGAGATTGGATGAGTTTCCAGCCAATGAAAATATGTAGCGAATTTGGATTCTAAGGAATTACCATCGATAAGGGCTCAAACTGAAGATAAGCAGGTGGTGGATAAGCCTATAGGCGAATCTCAGATGCGGACTGAAGTGGTAAATTCCCCCGGTGATGGAAATAAGGTCGAGATGGAGGAAACAAATAGAGATGAAATGGATTCAATGCTGGAGGCATATCGAAAGGCGGAACCTTGGGCTGAGGTAGGGGAGCCGGGTAATACGAATATGGATTCGGAGTTATTGGAAGTGACTAATTGTCCTACGAATGAGGGTGCGTTAGACGCGATTCCATCTGTAAAGGGATCATTGTTGGATAGTGAGCAAGAGAACGGAACTGTATTGGTAGATAGATCAGCTTTGGCAATTGAGAAACAGCAAGGGACGATAGGCTCAACAACTATGGTAGTGAACACCTACTGTAGGAGATATTCTAGTCTTCGGAGGAAGGGGATCTAGGGAATGATAATGATTTGGTAGTGTGGGTTGGAGGAGCCGAGAAGGGGGATACAGACAGTGATGTACGAGTGGAGGAAGAGGGATGCTATTTGGATTCCGTACTTATAGCAAATGAATGCATTGACTCAAGATCCCGTCTCCATTGTTGTTTGTCATTGTAATGGAAGCCTTCAGTAGGATGCTTGAGAAGGTCGTGTGGCAAAGTTTGTTAAGGGGCTTTGTTGTTGAGCAGTTGGAGGTTCTCATTTGCTATTTGCAGATGACACACTGATTTTTCGTGATGCAGATGTTGAGCAATTCAGGAACTTGCGTTGTTTACTCATGTGCTTTGAAGCCGTATTTGGATTGAAAATAAATTTGGGAATATCTGAGGCATCACGGTGGGAGAGGTCGATAACGTGGAGGAGTTGGCTGCGATATTGGGTTGCAGGGTGGCGGAACTGCCAATAACATATCTCGGGCTTATTTTAGGAGCACGGTTTAAAATCACACAGATTTGGAACAGTATTGTGGAAAGGGTGGAAAGAAGGCTAACGGGTTGGAAGCGTATGTACCTCTCAAAAGGAGGTCGTCTTACTCTCTTAAAGTTCGCTTTGTTGAATCTCTCTACTTATTTCTTGTCATTGTTTATTATTCCTTGCAGTGGCAAAAAAATTAGAGAGGAACTAAATGGAGTTTCTTTGGTGAGGATTAGGAGAGGGGAGGAAATTACATTTGGTTAACTGGTGTGTAGTTTGTTCTCCAATAAGATTCGGTGGTCTTGGACTGAGGGGTCTAGTACTATTTAATAAGGCCTCGTTGGGTAAGTGGTTATGACGATAATTCGGAGTGGAGAGGAAGAGTTTTTAGAGAGATATTATAGGGGCAAAATATGGTGTTATGGAGGGGGATGGTGCTCATGTGAGAGTCGTGGTTCTTATGAGGTGAGTTTGTAGCGGTATATCCGGCGAGGGTGAAGCGACTTTCGGGATATATTGACTTTTGTAGTGGGGAATGATAATACCATCAGTTTTTTGGATGATTGTTGGTGTGGAAATCAACAGCTTAAGGTGGGATTTCCTTCTTTGTATTATATTGCGTTGGAGTCGTCTGTCATGGTGAATGATGTCTCAGATATTCATAATGAGAGTTCCAGTTGGAACATTGTTTTTGCTGGGGTTTGCAGGACAGGGGATGATTATGCGTTGCTTTTGACATCTTTATGCGAGGTATATATCAGGGCAGGAGAGGGTGATTGAAACAGGTGGAAGTTGATACGAGATGGTAATTTTTCAGTTCGCACTTATTTTAGATCCTTATTGAGACTTATGGAGAGTTCATTTCCCTGGAAGATGGTTTGAAAATGTAAACTGCCCCCACGGGTGGCATTTTTATTATGGAGGGGTAAGATGACAGGTGTTAACGGTGGATAACCTTCGTACAAGGGATTTTAATATTACAGAGTGGTGCTATATGTAATGTATAAGAGGGATGGGGAGACGATTGATCACTTGTTCCTTCATTGTGATGCTACTCGTTTACTATGGAACGATATTTTGGTTCCGCAACACATGGATTGGGTGTTTCCGAAACGTATGGAAGACATGTTAAAGGCATGGAGGAGAAAGTTTCGAGATAAGGATAGTAAATTTGTATGAGACTTTATTCCGGGTTGCATCGTATGGTGTGTGCGGAGAGAAAGAAACAACCGCTGTTTTGAAGACTAAACACGGATAACAGAGCATATTAGAGAATTGTTTTATTTGACATTGTATACTTGGTTTAATGCTGCGGCTACTATGCATATAGACGGGCTACCTAATTTCACGTTGTTACTTTTTGATTTAAATTGATAATACACTTCCTGTATATTATGCATTGATTAATAAAATATTTGATTACCTTTCAAAAATAAAAAAATCTACTGCACTAATTACATACAAGCTAAATAGAACCTACCTGAAACTTTGATTGCCTGCAAGGAACTTTAAGTCCTCTTTGCCAATTAAGAAAATAGTTTCTTTAGATGCCTCTGTTGACTTGGTGAGATGGTGAACATTGTCTTCTTCAATTTCAATATTTCTAGAACTGATTTTTCCGTTGAGGACATGACTAATTCTCGCATTCTGCTGAGATTCTCATTTGGATAATACAGAGTTATTCATTCATCCTACTTATTTTGCTCTGTACTGGCCTGATAAATAAACATGTCCTCATCTTTTTGGTGCTACTAGATGTTCATCATGTATGTAGACAAGAATTCACATAATGTTGGAAAATTTAACTGGCAAATTTTTATAAATTTAAAAAAAAAAAAAAAAAAAACCTCATTGAATCATAATTCACAATACTGAATGCAAATGAGCCACAGTAAACTAGTTCTAACTCTATCTAAATGTGGATTAATACACCTGTAGAACTTAATATAAGGTTGGATGGTAAGCAATGTGATGCACCATTGCAACTTGAGCAAACTATTTTTCGGGCTGAATTTTGTCCCTGGTGTATAAGATTTATAATCTTGTGTCAGTTAATGATTTATTCATTTATATGTAGGTTCTAGACATGCTCTCCTATCAGGCTGTCACTCTTAGGCACCCACTAGATGTCTTGGTTACTGGGTCATTGGTTCCATATTTTGAAAAACCTACTTCTAATTGACTAATTCTGTATAATGAATTTTTGACCTCTCAAGTTGTTAGGATGTACATAAAATTATTGTTTGATGCATCAACTCAGAAATTGGATCCTTAATCCACTGATGAGACGAAATCAGAATGCTTTTCTAAAAGTGTGATTCAGCATCCATTTGCAAATATATGGTGCAATAAAACTTAAAGGCATGGGATATCAGATCTTCCAAGTGAATAAAAGGAGAGCTTATGATCATGTCATCTTTTACTTCGTTTTCATTTTACGAGAGAAGGTTTCTAGTTTAGGTAGCCAACTTGCAAAGCGGGTTTGTGTCTGAGAGTGAGTCACCTTCAAAAATTCAAGCTATCAACTCCCTTTTATAGCATAAAACTTTTTATCGCATAAAAAATACGTGTGTAAAATATCAGATAGTTGATGTTTCCAATTGACATTTTTTTCCCTGAACAATATGTCATCACTTTATTAACCCGTCAACACTTTTTTTTTTTTCGTTAACATTAAATACAAAATAAATAGTAGTATCTAGAAGTTTTGGAACTAGAAACTCGATCAAGTTAACATGAATATTAAATATTGCTCTAATCATCTTGACCCTAATAGTCAAAATATTTTTAACTGTTTGAAATGGAGGAAATATATAAAATAGAAAACTGCAACTAAATTGAAGTTATTAATATAGTGACAACGACAACAATAACAAAGATATGCTAATATGCTTACAACACTCATCTCTCCTGTTGCCAAAGTTGTGTGTCCCAAGATCTAACCTTCACATGTACTTTTGCTATTATTAGAATTCCTTTATCAGGTGTGTTGTATTTTACCTTGGATCCATGTACCGACGCTATCCATGTGACATTTGAAGTAAATCTTGTGAAAATACAAGAGTTTGAACAGAAAGAAAGTCAAACTTGTGGTGATTACTTTCTCCTATGCATCAAATAACGGTATAGCTTGCATATGTAACCTGGTTCCTGGTTCAATAGGGACCAGATAGGGAATTATATATATAAGCTGTCAAGTAATATCGGATGAATCCTTTTTATTTTTGCCACACCCTAGACTTGATAAAAGCGACCCCCTTCCACCTTCTCATTCTTCTTCGGACTTCAGCAATTGGATACTGGTCACATCTTGACGAGGCAAGGAATTGTATGGAAGCAGAATTATCGTTCTTCTGCTAGAAAATGAACTTTCTTAGACGTAAGCAGGGGAAAACATTCCCATGTTGCTGCTTTAATGTCCAACATTAATCAAGATTTTACCAAAAAGAAAAAAGGCTTTGGAGGAGAGAACAATTAATTTTTTTGATGTTACTTTTAGTGGTGTACATAAAAGAAAGGATATCCAAGGTTATTAAATCTAGGAAATATACTATTTTATTGTAGCTATGTCGAATATCCTTTACTTACTCTCTTGAATGATATTTATAATTCGGTGCATTAAGCAACACCTTTTGTTAACTCTATGAAATACAGTGACTTAATATTTCTGATTAAGGAAACATGAGTACTGTTAATTCATGCTTATATATTGATGTTTTAATACGATAGATGAGTAGTCGATCCTAAATGTTTGTGTATAATAGACGTATCTCTTAGTTAATGTAGTCGGGTTGTTATGAGTGTTGTGGTTAAGAACAAAGGTTGTCGTAATTTTTCAGGTAATTGCAGTGGGTTATGCTATTATGACTACAAGATCTTTAGACTTGGACTGGAAAATGAGAGCATTGCGAGTTTTGCCAATTTTTCTTCTGCCTACATTATCTTCCATTATTTATTCAGCACTTGGAAGCTTCACAAGGATGTGTAAGTATTTCTGTTTTCTTTCTTGTCTTTTTCTGTTGGTAGAATATCATCTCTTAGTTGATCTAGAAGGGAGAACTGAGGCTAAGAAAATCTCATGGTACCGCTAGGGTTGGACATGGTACAATATGGTGTGGCCCTAAAGAGAACTGAGTCGAACCAGAATTTTTGGGTTTTTAGTAACTGAAACCGTCGAATCCAAATTTAATTCCATAATTAAATTTTTAACATTTACAACAATATTACATTAATTCAACTATTGACATGTTCAATCTTAACTCTTCCAAAACTGGGTTTAAAAATGAAGAAGGATGTAGAAATGCTTACGAATATATAGGATTTGATGGTGTGGTTCGTATAGATCTTGAGGAGCAAAGATGAATTCGTGACTTGGGAGAGGGGAGCGGCTGAAAAAGCCGAAAACAACTAAACCTAAATGATAAAATGAGTGGGAGTGAGTGTTACATGAATTGTGAAGTGAAGTTGGGTTTGAGCTCAAATTTGTAGGAAAGAAATATTTTGGCTCAAGTTGGGCTTGGCCTTTGGGAGTTGGAGCCTTGGGCACTTACAGTTAATCACTTAATTAGTTAACTGACAAATTTTTTTTTTTATAATAATCGTGGATGTTCGGGCCAGTTTGCGCTCACCTTCACTAATTCCACTAGGTCCTAAAGTTTACGGTCGGGTACTCACCTCAGTGGCCCTGAGGGGATTCGAATTAATTGGAAAATTTATTTAGAATGTTTTTAAAAAAAATTAGGCTAATTCAATATAAAAAATTAAGGGAGATTCGGTTCTTAATCTAGAACCGAAAATTGAACCCATCGGTTCTCGATTTGAGTACCCATTCGGGTATTTAACTTGAGAAGAATCGAACAAAACAATTCGGTTCGGTTGGATTTGAGAGTTTTGTCCAGCCCCATACCATACCATAAATTTCTGTAGCTTATAAAAATAAGTCATTCTCAAGTAATTTTCATAATTTTCTGTTGCCTAACAAGAGATCCTTGTACGTACTAAAAGAACATCTATAATTCAAATGGTGACTCGCAGAAAAATTAATGAATTAACAAACTTTCACATGCAAAACACAGAGTTAGTGTTTCTAGAACAGTCTTACACTGTCATTGTGCATCTTTATGGAGTAAAACTATTACAAATATTTTTGTGCATATGAATTGGCTGTTTTGTGAGTTATACATTTCTCCGTTTTTCTTTTTGGTGTTTCTAGCACTGTCTGCTACTGTTGTTTTCACTGAGAAAAACAATTATAAATGTATTTGTAGTCCAATTGGATTGTTTAATTGGTTATGGATAGCTTTCAACTATGTGAATTATCCTTGTCAATTGCAAAAACAAATGCATAAATTTTAACTTTTGCTCATCTGAATGCCAATGCTAGAGCAAAGTCACTTGTATATTATGAACCAGTATTGGTTTTTCTTATTTAGATTTTATTTCTGTACCATTCTGTCCTTTCTCCTTTTATATTTTTGCATGGTTCCTGATTTCTTCTTGGTTTTTGCTATAAATCAGAGGAATCAAGTATAGCAGATGAGTAGCATATGTTTGGCAAGTGTTTATAAACGGTTGTGTTTATAAACATATAGAAATGAGTGGTGCATAAGTGGATAGCACATGTGCCCACGCAATATGTGGATAAAAAATGGTTTGACGTTTAGCAAGTGTTTATAAACATTGTATATAAACCACTGCCAAACATATTCTTAAGACTTGAAAGTGAACTAGATGTTGCTGTTGTATAGCATTAAAGAAACAAGAAAGAAAAAGGAATGGGGTGGAGTAGCAGTAAATATGAGAGCAGAGGCAGTTTGGGGAAGACTGTTTACATGCTTCTCATCCCCCACCCGTCTCTTCCCCCCTTCTGCTGCTCCCTTGTTTTCATGTACTATTTGATTTCTATTAAAATGTCAAGTATTCCATCATCATGGGCAACTTGGTTTCTGTTCCCTCTTCTCGCTGTAAACCAAACTGAAATATTTATGGTCCTTTATAAGTAAGACTGGGAGTATCATGTTTATCTGCTGTGCATAATAATTGCTTCTCTTTCAGTATTTGTCAGCTGTTTGGGCTCCTGGCCATGATATTATGAAACAATGAATTCTTTTGTGAAACTTCAAATGCTCTTCTGGTGGGGGAGAGCTTTATAATTGTTTGTTTCTCTGATATGAATGTACAGGTGATAGGAGGGATGAGAAAACATTGGCAAAGCTTCGGGCTGAGAGGCAAGCAAAAATAGATGAACTCAAGGAGAGAACAAATTACTACACCACCCAACAGTTAATACAGGTGATGACTGGAAGCAAGTTGTGTGTTCTGCTTGTATTAATATTTTTGTGTTGTGTGCATCTAAACTGATATACAAAATGGAAGTAGTGGCTCAAAGATGCTGGCTGTGAATAGTTAACTTATAATTAAGGTGTCTCAATAAGTGGGGTCTCTAAAACTTCCATGCATAAAGCATCTGATTCCACCCTATTTTAGCCGATTAGAAATGCAATAGATCCTTATATTGAATCTTCAGTGCAGAGGTATGACCTTGATCCAGCAGCCAAGGCAGCTGCTGCAACTGTCCTGGCATCCAAGCTAGGTACAGATTCTGGTATGAAAGTCTACATGGCTGATGAGTCTAAGCTGAATGCCCCAACTGGAAAGAGCAATGAAGTGGAAGCTGCAAGGACTAGTGGACTTAGAAATCGAAAGCCATCTAATACAAAATCCAACAGCAAGAACGTGCATGATCCTGAAGAAGAAATGCTTAATCATGAAGAGTTCGAGAGCCCTGATATTTCCGAGCATCGACAGGTCATTGTGGAGCATCATCATCAAATTGGTTCAAGCACACATGATGGTAGATGGATTGCTCGAATTGCAGCATTGCTTGTGGGAGAGGATCCAACACAATCTTATGCACTTATATGTGGAAATTGTCGTATGCACAATGGTAAAAATGAATTTATGGAATTAACTATAGATAGAACTGTTTCTGATTTTACATAATTACTTCATCTTTATTCATGTTTGCAGGGCTTGCAAGGAAAGAAGACTTTCCTTACATAACTTACTACTGCCCACATTGCAATGCTCTGAATAAGCCAAAGCAACCCGATCAGCATGTTTCTGGCTCGAGTTCCCCTAAAATGACCTCCTTAATGAACGTGGTTGATGCAAAGGTGACAAGAAGTGCTGATGATTCCACGATTGACAGGATATCTGCTGGCAGTAGCCCTGTGGCTGCTCCTTTGGATAATCACGAAAGTGAAAAGATAGCAACTAGTGGTTCTGTTCGCTAGTGGCATACTTGTTCATTTATACCTGGTCAAATGGTGCTGTTTTCGTGAGCATAGTAACTGTAATAGGCTTGTTTCATCTTCAATTGAGACTTGTATTATAAACTTGATGGCAAGTTTTATGTCATTATATAGCCGAAGTCATCTTCTTATCTTGAGTTATATGTGTAATGGTATCGAATTCTGTCAATTGCGGGAATTTTTCTGGACTTGCCTCAATCTACGGTTTTGGATGATGCTGTGCCCAAGTCCACAGTTGAGTGGTGCTGTGGATATAAGTTTTGCAGATTCATGTTGTTTGGCAAATAAATGTCATATTTTCAATATCTCAAGAGACTGGAGGCTTCTTTCAAATTCTTGTAAACAAAAATACTCAGAACATCGAGAGAAGTTCTGCAGCCTTGCAAGTTGGAAGAAACACAGAGTTCAAGTTTCGATGTCTCCCCCTAACTTCAAAGATGCAAGATTCTGATTGTTGTGAACAGTTCATCATGGAGACAAAGCTTTGATATATTCTGAATTAAGAGCTTTATTAGAGAAGTTAGATTTATTGCGGATCTTGTCTATGGTAAATGACTGCACACTTTTGTTAATGTCCAATTCTTTGAGGCTTGGGAATTACTTGTAGTAGTCGTCAATTTGGGATAACTAGGAATCAGCAAATATTTAAGATGTTCATATACTTGAAATCTAGAAGTTTTTTTTTTTTTTTAATCGTACAATATTCTTTACAATTTCACATTTGGTAGACATCGCATCCATTCATTTTAAAAATTGTTTTTTAAGTCAACGGCACGGATCTTGACAACTCACTGATTGTACTAATTTGTGTTGTTGCTTCTGTCCACTGCCAACTGTTAGGTTCAATATCTAGGCAAATGAACGAGTTTACGCCTAACTTTTAGGTAAGGCCGCCAATTTTATTTAAATTTTATTTCAAGTACCATAAGATTTTTCCATTGGTAATAAATAAAATAACTCGTTTTAATGACTTTAATTTATGCACAAAAATTATGTTTCTTGACATAATAACATAAAAAAGTAAAGTTCTGTTCTTTTTACCATTTTAAACCCCTTTTGTGTTTTCAATTTTTCAAAACAGTGAAAACGCATTCTCTTTCCTATTTTCGAAAATGGGTTTTTGAAAATAAGTTAAAAATTTATAAAGAAAACCCAAAACGATCGTTTTGGGTGTTTTTAGTTATAAACAAATCAAATTTTTTAAAATGCGTTTCGTGTGTTTTTAAAACAATTTTTCAAAATGTCAAAAAAAATACATTTTCAACAATATCAAAATGGACACTCGAAGCACAAAGCCCAAAATGAATTCAAAACTCAAAACACAAAATTGAAACACAAAGAAAACATCCCCTAAACCCTAAATAATAACAATGGAGAAACTGTAATAATTAAGTAACAATTAAAATAATAATAATGATTAATTATGATGGTTTCTATGCCAATGATTAGCAACCGAATTACAGTCGGTGATTATCTGCATCACTGCTTATATTGTCATCAATGATTGTTGACATACAGAATTGCCGTTGGTAATTTTGCTAATGATGATTTGTTCCATTTTAAATGTTTTTATTATTTTTAGGAAAAATGGTCCATCGGAAATTTACCCATTACTCCCAAGCTGCTTAAGCTGCCTTTGATTGAAACAATTTCTTATTTTAACTAACTCAGACATAGGTAACAGATTAGTGGAGTTGGCCGTGTATTTTTTAATTAAAATTCATATATATCTGATTAACATAAGCTAAACACAGATAACAAGGCACATCAACTAATTGATGAATCATCTAATTTAGTCCCCGTTTGCTCATATTATTTGAAATTATAATTTTTGGAATAATTTTTTTTAAATGTCTGGTTGAAAAAGAAGAAAAAAATTTCGATTTACGTGTAATATTATTTTATGGAAGATTGTATGGTTGAAAATAAAAGAGAAGGATAAATTTTTGGGATAATGTTGGCAAACGGAGCTTATATAATTGCACGACAAAGTGAAAGACGCCCAAGTTGATTACATGTTCACGTTATTGCGGGTTTGTAGTATATTTCATTACAGTAGCAAGATACTAAATATCACATCAAGTAAGAATTATTTTTTGGACGATCTTAACTCTATTACAATTCAATTATTTCAATAACATCTTTTCGTTTTTCAATATGTAATAAATACTACAAAATCCGTATCAAGTATGAATTTCATATTATTAATTCTCAATTAGTTAACATTAACAATATTCTAGGTTCAATGAATCTTTACTTGATGAATTTTGATCTACATGATTCTAGATTTATTATAGATGAATTTATTTCTATTCATGTATTTAGAGAAATTTTAATGGGGGTTTAAATTCATATATTAGCAACTAATTCTTATGTACCAAATGTAGTATACAAAGGTTGCTCATTTGTAATATTTTATCATCACAAAAAATTTAAATAATAGAAATTGAGTTTTGAGAGTACAATTTTCTTGTCTTAAATTTCAATCCAAAAGTTTATTTTCTTTAATTTGTTTAAGACTCATCAAATCCTTCCAACAAATTAGTATCAAATATTACTTTTACAGCATTTACAAAGTATTTCAAAATAACGTGCAATGCACGTTCAACTCTGACTAGTACTAATATAAATGTGATAATATATCTAATAAGTACTTTAAATAAGAGTAATATTCAATCATGAGCATGGTCTATTTGATAATAGGATCAATATCATATTATCCAATAAAATTATAATGCGATTTTATTAATTGGATATTGTGATGAGACTCCACTAGCACATAAGGTACTAAGCACGAGACTGAATAGTTATTCTTTAAATGATCACTTACTAAAATCGTCTCACACGACTTCTCTTCTATGGTAACACGTAAAAGCTTGATACTCAAAAACATTGTATCAATTATCATTTGAAATTAAAGAGACAATTTTCATTTTTCTTTCTTCTGTCAGGGTAAAAATGGGAACTAAATTTGCTATCAGTCCCATATTACAAAAGTGAGCCAAAATACATGCGATATCAAACGAATTTCTCGTAGTTTTAATAGGAATCTAATCATTGTCAAATCATCATTCATTCAAGTTATGAATTGGCATATTCTGCAACGTAATCGAAGAAAAATGAATATTGATCTCTATCCTTCGTGAGCAAAAACTCAAAACTCGATAACGAGCTGAAACGAAAGGATATCTACCAGAAGCAGCAGCATTCTCGACCCGCAGATGGCTTTACATATGAACCAGAGATGGGAAAAACACTGCATGCAACTAGACTCTTTGTCACTTGCAATCATGTCTTCGATAACATAACCTCAATGGCACTGCCTAGTGGCCATGCTGCTTCAACCAGCGAATTTTGGTACTCGACTTTTTTCACCAATGTGATCTCTTGCTTTGGGTCAAGACCTATTCAATGAAAACATGAATTGTCCATAAAATTAAGCAACGTGAATTCTAGATGTGAGTTATCAAACAGTTCGTAGCTTTCTCACTTACCAAACCCATCTATGAGCAGTGTGTATTGATAGACGAGATCCATGCATAAGTACGGTAAATTATCTGGATCCACAGGAGGATATCTAGATTTGGCATCTGCCAGTTTCATTTGGCATGCAATTTTGGCTGCAGCCTCAAAAGCAGCTCGACGGACTTTGGCAACAGCCTTTTTAGGATCCACAAAACCGGCCTATGTGCAATATGATGTCAGACAACTGAAACACTTCTTTACTTAAACCGTGGGGCATGTTTGGTATATAGAAGTCGACGGGGCTGGTCAATAATAAATAAGAAAAAGAAGTAAAATCTTGTTTATAGTAATTTCCAATCCAATCTGGTGTTGCTTACCAAACATGCTGTGAAAGAAGAATACTTTGAATTGGCAGAACTTTTGCAAGCGTCTAAAACAAAACACATTTATACCTCAGCAGCCCGATCAAAGAAAAATGAAGCAACAAATAGATTCTTCTGACCATCCCCTCCTCTGCCATTCCACACCCCGCCAAAAGTGCACTTCATGTGGGTGCATGTAGGTTCATTAATTTTAAGGGCCTTATTAGCAGCTTCTCTACATGCATTCAGGGTCGAACCAGATGAGACAGCAGATGCATCATATTCTTCTCCTCCATATTTGTATGAGCCTTGTGTGGAAAATGTAATGGATCCATAAGGATTAACTTTATTGCCAAATAATAAAATTACAGAACAAAAAAATGCCATAATAATAGTAACAAAGTTACAAATACTGCTAATTTCTGAAAATATTTCCTGCAAGAAGAAAAGTTAGGGCTAGAAAATCCTTTTCATATAAAATAAGAGGACAATGGGAAAACATGTGAAATAAAGTTCACGTGAACGGTCACAAAATGAGTCTGCTAAACTTCCTCTACTAGACTAACACTTCTATTTGAATGAACACCAAACAGATGGTTCTGAGTCTCTTGACTACGTGATGTGACTGTAATGGCAGCAGAACCTACATTTTACTATGATCGACTTGTAAGCAATCAGCTTGATTGTAACATGTGCACAATCTACACAAACCTGTAATAATCTCAATTAATTTAATATATAAACAGAAGTACATGCCCAAGCCATTAATAGCCTTATCACAAGTGTTCCACGGAGAAAACATTTGGATAACATATGAAAATTAAACATCACATTGTATTTTTCCTTTTTTTCTTTTCCTGTTGTTGATGGATAAAGGTTTTATTTATTATCAAGAGTTGCGCAAATATGTCAATCATCAACCAATAATTCATTAATATATAAGTATTTTTATCAACTATTGATCCAGGAAGCCAATTGCATTGAGAACCCTGGAGCAGTGTGCTTCAGCAGCTTATTCGTGGAACCTATTCCCTATTCAAGCTAGCGAAAGAGAGAGACCCAAAAAGGGATATTGTCCAATTAAGATACCACTTAAAAATAATATCTCATTCGTGGAACCTTCTGGCATAATAATATTTAAGATATATAAAAAAA